ATGATGATGATGATGGATTTAAACTCTGGTTCGAACACAGACACAGAGTGGCTCTTCTTCTACCAAACTCCAGTTGGATATTTAGAAGTTGATATTTGCAGAGGAAAGAAAATTGGACAAAAAACACTTGAAGGGCAGGAGAGAAAGACAGTCAACTCTACTTTCATATGACACTGCGACACTCTTGGAATCAAACCTATGTTGCATTGATGAGACCTGATCATAGGTAAGTGCTTTCACGGATATATGAATTCTAAATTGCTGAAGTTGCATTTGACTTTGAAATCTCCTGCAATTTTACTTATGCCCAAATAAAAGTTCTTCTAAGCTTAGGTTACAATTAGATGATGAAAATTTTATGAATATATTCATTTTTAATTTAAGATGAGATAAGATAATAATTTGATAGTATTATTCATTTATTTGTTTGTGATTTGTTTTCTCAAATTCAACATGTTTTTAAATCCTCCTTACCTAAACTTTAAAAATATTATTAAAAATATTATATAATAAATAACATCACTAGAGTATCAGCAAGGTGGAATCCTGACGATGGTAAGAGATGAAGGGGACGACCAAAAGAGATATGGTGAAGAACTAGGGTAGACCATGGAAGAGATGGAATAGGATGTTTGCATGATGGCATCATTGACCTCTACCACCAGACTCCCTTGCACGCTTTCTTTTGTTCAGTTAATTAGCACCAATTGTCTTACTATTCTCATGAGGGAATTAATACAAATTCAAATAAAAAAGAAAATTTGCAAAGCATTATGGTAGTGGGAGTCAAATGACGTCATCATGCAAATGTTCTATTACTGGCAAAGGATAAGGAGAGATAGAAGTCCTTGGTGTCGGCCCTACTTGGCAAACAGGCATATACAGAGGATAATGATGATGATGATAATATAAACTTTTGCATGCTTAATTACCTTGCCATTCGCTTTTAGTCCAAGCTCTTTGCATAGTTTTTGCAACTGTTTTCTATCCAGTGTCATGATATCTATTTGACTGAGGTCTGATGCTTCATCTTCTTTCTTATTGATTGGCTTTGCTCTTTGTTTCTTGGCTTTTGTCATCTTGCATCCCATTAATTAATGCTTGCTGTCTGAGTACCCAAACTGTGTGTAAATGTAGTGGAAAGAAAATCAAAACTAATCCAAAAACAAAGGGCAGATCCAGGGGGATCCCCTTTAGCAGAAAAAAAAACCAACAAATCAAAACTGAGGAATTTGATGCTTTTTTATTGTTTTCCATTGTGCTGGCAGAAGAAACTCAATTAGCCCCTGCCCTTGAAAACATCTTTTTACAGGGTGCTGATCAATACCAACTTGGTATAACTCTTTATCTTGGGAATAATGTTTTCCCATTTCAGACCACATCATTCCCTATGGAGCATTCTTTCTTTTTTCTTTGTTTGAGACACATGCATATAGATATAACTAGAACAAAGAATCTTATTTTTGAGGGAATGACACATTACACCCAAACTAAAGAGGTCAATTGCTGATTAACATAGTACTTCAATCCATGTGTTATTGTGATGTGGATGGGTGGATGGGTGGGAAGTGAGTGGGAAGCGAGTGGGAGAAGTACTGTAGCTTAGTTAATAGACCAGACATGACTGGGACATGAAATCTGAATATATATGAAGAGCATATTGATATTAGATGAATATCTAGTAACCTAAGCCCAAAATTCTCTTGACCTATGTATAGACCTCTTTCGTTTATAATTCCCAGAGTATCTCAACTTGGAATAAAAAATATAATTTTACTTTCATAAGAATTAAAATCCATTGGTAAAAAAAAGGCTGAGCTGTTCTCGGCATTGCTGCAAAGGGGTCTGCAGTATGTATGATCTCCCAAGGTCTATTGTTGGTGGCAAGCATCCCTTCCCCAGGGAACCTGGAGGGGTGGAACAGGGGGGCTACAGCCTTCCCTCACTCTTTCCCTTTTCCCATACTAGTCTTATATATTTTCCAATCTCAGCCTCCCCCCCCCCATGTTGCCACCATGTTGTATGACTGACAAAACACATCAAGACCAAATCTTTTGTCAAAGGTGCCATAGTCAACCAAAATGGTAGCTATGACGTCACTTGTTAATCATTAGCCTGACTTAGCAATGGCATTTTGTTGACATAGCTTCCTTATATTTTAAGTCTTATTCTCTTGAGAATTGCAATTTTTAAAAGAATTGGTACGATTGTTAGCGTTCAAACCCTGATGTATGGACGAAAGAGAAATGCAGCTTCTGAAAACCCAGTAAACATTGCAGCGAAATTTAATACTGATAACTAAGCGTATCAAAAACGCCATCAAGAATACACAAAAAAAATGTACTTGCTTTGATCGAATCCCCTACGAACTGTGAGTGTTTTTAATTCGGTTTTCAAATATAAACTGGATATAAGACTGCGTTTACACGGTATAAAACGTACGTGTAAACTTTTTGACCAGGTAAAATCGTCCGGTACCGTGTAACTTAAACTAGTCAGAGAAAAAAAATATTTAGTCAATGTGTTTTTCTGAATCCCAAAGCACTGAATTCCATGTTTCTAGTAAATACGGTCCTCAAAAATCTTTTAGATAGAGTTAGAATTAAATATTTTAACCGTGTTTACTCACCTTGATCAAATCTTCTTCTTTCGACTTTAAAAACACGCGCCAAGTGCACCTCGATCTGGTGGAACACTTACCACAGGTAACCCAAGCATAGTACTTTACGACCTCAGGGTCCTGAAGGGGAAAGGGGGGTCCTAAATCACATTTCCTAACCCCATTTTGACCAAATCTCATATAGTTGCTCAAATATCAATCCCATTTTTTAAATTTTTTTATGAATCCCATTCCCAGTGCATAAAATCCCATTTTCCCAGCCAAACAAACAAACAAACAAACACAAAAAAAAAAAGAATTCCAGCTCCCATTTGACCCCTTCAGGACCCTCTACATTAGAATACTACAGCAAATTTGAATGAATAGCTTCTTTAGTCTTTTTTGACTTTAAATGTTTATGTTGCTAACTAAACATCTGCAATTATGAATGTGATCAGTCAGCATTTTCCATCTAGCAACTGCAAGACTTACCTGACCGTTGGAAAAAACCTTCCAATAGGGGGAAATTTCCCAACCACTGCTTGTGTTCGCTGCTATCTTTAAATACTTACAGTACCCAAGCCTGCAATCTTAATGACTCCAGCTGTCCCTGTTCCAGAGTAAAAATATCGCTGAAAATCAGACCATGTTGTATATAAAAAACCCTGTTCCGGTAGCCAAAATAGATACCCTGTTCCAGAGAAGCAGGGGTGATGAACCATAGTGTGGTGGCAGTATGGTGTTTAATGGTAATGCCCATGACATGTAGTTCATGTCTGTTGTTATCAGGTAATTTTGACTTTAACAGGATGGGAGGTATTAAGTGTCACTGAAGAAAAAAATCTGTGCCCTACAATAACTGGGGGTACTCCTATATTTAGAAGGGCAGGGATGCATGCCAAAAAATGTGCCCTACAATAACTGGGGGTACTCCTATATTTAGAAGGGCAGGGATGCATGTCAAAAAATCTGTGCCCTACAATAACTGGGGGTACTCCTATATTTAGAAAGGCAGGGATGCATGTCAAAAAATCTGTGCCCTACAACAACTGGGGGTACTCCTATATTTAGAAGGGCAGGGATGCATGCCAAAAAATCTGTG